TCCCTCCTCCTGTACCTGCCACAACCCCCAGCCAGAAGCCCCCTAGGTGAATTCTTCCTGTGGCCGGGAGCCCAGTCTTAGAGGTGCCCCCTGGGTGGGATTCAGGCCCGCAGGGTCCCCGACTCAGTCTGAGTGAGAGCTCTGGGCATCTGTCCTCACATCTCGCCCCTGGAATCCACAGCCCTAGACACATATGCAGGCACGTTCCAGTCAACTGTAAGACCTTTGCCTACGTGCCTCCCCTCCCCCTATGGTCCTCAGACTGGCCTTTGGAGGACAGAATTTGGGACCCTGTGTCCACTTCACAGACCGCAGGAAAGCTGGGCTCAGTGCCTCATTGGCTGATCTCTCACCCGCAACTCACGTTTGCTGAATATTCCATGTGCTCCCATGTGACTTGCGACCCATGTCCCTCTCCCCAGGTTCCCCGGGGACCCTGTTTCCTGTGGTCCCCGTTAGCCCCGCCTCTCCTCCACGAGTTAGTGTCCACTGCCACCCAGGTACTCCTCTTGGAAGGACTGCAGGCATGCAGCCATGTTGCTGTTCCCAACAATGTCCCTTCTGCTAGATGGCCCCAGCTCTGGGGGTGGGGGAGGGAAGGGCACGGGCCCCTGCTCCCCGCCTCTGGCAAGGGCCTTTCAGACAACAGTGCATGCTGGATAGCGACCCTCACCCCCTGGGCTTACGTGGGAATGCTTCAGCGGTGCCCACTCTCCCGGAGTCCATCAGCGCCCAGTGCTGCCACCGCTTTGCTCCCGCTGGTCACTCAGCTGGTCTCGGTCCAGGACCCTAAGGGCCATGGCCAGGACAGCCCTTGGGCCTCTTGCCTGCTAGAAGCAGAGGGGGAGGAAAAAGTGAACTTAGCTCTGGCCAGGAGTCCTCCAGCTGGTATGGTGGAAAACCCACTGTGGTGAGGCCCAGAGGCTAGAATTCCACCCCATTTCTGGCAGGCTCCCTGGGGTGACAGAGGGAATCTGTGCATCAGGCAAATATTTACTGAGCATGAATACGCCAGGCCCTGTTTTAGGCACTGTGGACACAGCTGACGTGTTAGTGGGAGAGACAGAATAATGAGTAAAATATATAATAAGACGGATACCTCTGGTTTTAGGGGGATTGAGACACAATTTGGGGAGGAGGCCTCATTAAGAAGAATACAAACTTACAAGTCCCATATCAGGGTATGAAATTGAGTATTTATTTAGAATGGAAAAGAGCTCACAGCAAGTTGAGGGAGGGCGGTTCAAAAGAAGGTCTGAAGCTTCCGTTTCCCCAGCATAACTACCCTCGTGTCTCTGGTGAGATGGTGACGCTGTGTGCTCAGGCTAGGAATAAGGCAAGAGAGGGGTCGGGGAGGGAGCAGAGGATGGAGGGAGTGGGTTGTAGTTTCAGGCCGGGGCACAGGAAAGGCCTGGGGAGGAGATAATTTGCGTCTGTGAGGGGCTGAGTGGCCCTAAGATGGCCTGTCTGTGGGAGGTGCAGCCCAGGCAGAGGAAGATGCTGCCAGTCACCTTCCATGCCTGTGACGACTGTGTGAGGTGCGCGAACCCCTGACCCCGTCTGATGGATACGGAAACCCAGTGAGCCCGCTGTGTGCCAGCTTCTGGCACAGGGTAGTGGGTTTCCATACATTCAGGAAATTGCCAATTCTTTATCCTCAAAGCCCTCTCAGAGTCGGAACGCTGAAGCTGAGAGAGGGGTGGGGACAGGGCCAGGGTCACCAACAGGGGTTAGAGACAGGCACTGGGGCTGGGGTGGGGAGGCAGCCTGCCTCATCTCCAAATCCTCCTCTTCCCTAGCCCAGAGCACCACCCGCCACAGGCCATCCAGACCTCATTCCCTGTCTCCCCTGCCTTCACTACCTGCCTGTCTCTCCAGGGCACTGAGTGAAAGGCTTTCTCTTTGCTGGGGAGGGGCTCTAATGCATGGGCACTAACGCCAGTAGAGAGACCCTCAAGCATGACACTAACTGCCCCAGTCCGGCCCATCCTGCTGTCCCACAGCCACAGCTGCCCCCTCCCTGTCCCCCCAGGTAAAGAAGACGGGCGCTCCTGCAAGAAGGTCACGATCCGTATGACCATCCGAAAGAATGAATGCAGGAGCAACACCCCTGTGAGTGGCGCCCCCTGGCAGTGGGAGAGGGGGCTTCAGGGGGTGGGCTGCACCGTCAGCCTCACCAGCCCGCCCACCTCTAGGTGAACCTAGTGTCCTGTGATGGGAGGTGCCCGTCCGCCAGCATCTACAACTACAACATCAACACCTACGCCCGCTTTTGCAAGTGCTGCAGGGAGGTGGGCCTACAGCGGCGCTCCGTGCAGCTCTTCTGTGCCACCAACGCCACCTGGGTGCCCTACACCGTGCAGGAGCCCACTGACTGTGCCTGCCAGTGGTCCTGAGGCCTGGGGGCCGGGGCTGGCTGGACCACCTCTGCCGCCCCCACCTTCTGCTTCCAGTGGGCCCAGGATACGGGGGCGGGGGTGGGCCTGGGTACTACAGGTGTGGAGAGCGGGTAGGCCCTGAGAACGGAATGACGAGCAGAGGCTCAGAGAGTGACTAGAAAGGGCCACACCTGCCCATCCTGGCTTCTTCTCTGGCCTCCCTCTCCTGCATACACCGAAAAGTACTATCTATACCTGAGGGCTCAGGGAACTCAACTCTGTCCTTGGCCGAGGTCCGGAATGGGCCTGAACCCTGACTCTGGCAGCAGGGGGGCGGAGGGGGAGAGATTTCCTGAGAAACCAGGCCCAAGCTAGACTCAAGACCATGTGCAGGGCCGGGATGTGGTGGACCCTTTCTACCCTGGGAGAACCACAGACATAGTAAAAGGACAAGGAGGCTTTAACTGCAATACACAGGTCTGCATGGGGCTGCACAGGGGGATTTCCCAGAAGCGAAGAGGGTGGGTTCCCAGGTCCTCCCACCAAGGTCTGCAAGGTCAGGCCCAGAGACAGGGGAATGGGCTCAGTGACCTTCGAGTCCCCTGTAGACCCAAGAGGGATGCCCTGGCATTCTGTCGTTACCCTGTGGTTCAGGAAAGGATTTAGAAGAACAGACCCATGCCTGCTCCCTCTGTGGCCCCCCACTCCCAGCCTCCCTGGCAGCTGGTTCTTGTGAGGTGGTGGCAGAAGCCCCCAAGGGCCATTGGCTGTTTCAGGGTACCTTCAGCCTGGAAGGGCGTGCCTGGCTTTGCCATGTGCCTCTTCTCCAAGGACATAGCAGAGTTGGTCTCTGGAGGGGCCTGAGGTGAGTTTTGTGGCTCAGCCAATTCCTAGCTCTCTGCTTCGTGGGACTGTTTAGCAGGAGAGCATCTGTCAGTGGGAAATGCAGGTGCTCCACACATACAACTGGTCTTCCAGCATTTTGTCAGAGCCTTGTCTCTGAACCAGAGTGTCCTTCTTAAAGCCAGGGCTAAGGTCCCTTTCACACCCCACTCTACAAGTCACTTCCACATGCCCCTTTGTTCCACTGGTGCAAAGGGCATGGACACAAGGTTGTTCATGCCCCAGCACTACCCTAATATGCCTGGGGCCGTGGGGATGTCCTAGGGTTGGGGTTAGTAGCCTGTGCCAGGTTGGGCCCCAGCTGTTCCTGCAGCTTCTTTTTCTCGGATCTATATTCTGATTCTGTATCTAATAAACCACGGAAAGACACCAGGCCTCTGAGCGTCTCTGAGGGTGTCCGGTCTGCTTTGACTCTGAAGGAATTTCAGCTGTGAAGAGAAGACCCTGTTTCATGGCCCTGAAGGTCACTCCAACTTCTCCTGCCCCATCTGTCACCCGAACTTCCTCACGACCCCCAGCACCTGCCCCCAGCTTGTTGGAACTGAGCTGACAGGAGATTGGCTCCCAAGGGAAGGGGTGGGAGGAAGGACGAGGACATGGGGAGCTGGGGAGCTAGCGTCCCAGTGGGGGCCTCGGTTTGGAAAGGCAACCTCAGACTTTCAGATGACTGTTCATCTACCTGTCACTGACGATGCAGCTTTGCTGACTTGGCTCTCTTGGGCTCTAGCTGGAGGCAGCTCCCCAGCACCTGCCCCAGCCCCACCATGGGGCCTGGCTTCCGGTGATCACAGCCATCACTGGAATCACAGTATTCCTGCCTTTTCTTCCCTCCTCACCTACCCTTCCAGCCAGGCATCCCCTCCTGCCTGTTCCTCCTGGAAGCCAACCTCCCACCCCAGCCCTCTGGCCAAACATCCCAGTCCTGTTCCCTCAGCTTCGGTCTGAGAAATCAACTCCTTTACACTCAGACACTCCAGTGAAAGATTAGTAAGAAGCAAATCATTGCCCAGCGTGATACTGTGCTCTGTGCTCTGGAGAAGACAGGAGACAAGGAGGAACTTAAACTTTGATCAATGTTGCCCAATTGCCCAATGCTGATGTCAGTGTTCATTAAAACAGTTTGGAGATGGTGATTCACATCAAAAATACTTATACCCTTTGATGAAACTCTCAAATTTCTAGACAGCTGTAATAAGCTGAAGGATGGTCTTCCACGTATTCATGCCAAGAGCCTTGGAATATGTGACTTGACAAAGTAAAAAGGACTCTGCAGGTGTGAATAAGACTCTTGAGGTGGGGAGGTGATCCTGGCTCATCCACGTGGGCCCAGTATAATCCCAAGAGTCCTTGTAAGAGGGAGGCAGGAGAGTCGGAGTCAGAGGACATGGGATGACAGATGCTGAGGTTGAAATGATGCACTTTGAGGTTGGAGGAAGGGGCCACTGGCCAAAGAATGTGGGCGACTTCTAGAAGCTGGGAGGGGCAAGGAATGGATTCTCCCCTGGAGCCTCCAGAAAGAACGCAAGACTGCCCACGCCTTGATTTTAACCCAGCGAAACCGATTTAAGACTTCTGACCTCTGAAACTCTAAGAGAATACATTGGTGTTACTTTAAGCCATCAAGTGGGTGGTAATTGTTACCGCAGCTGTAGAAAACTAATACAGCATCTAAAGAAGTAATTCATACAAGGAGGCAAGTGCCAATTGTTTATTATAGCATTATCTTAATTTTTTTTATAAGTAGTAACAACTTGACATGCCTTCCGATAGGGAATGATTAGATTGCCCAGTACAGACACACCGTGAAGATTATAGAGCTGTTTCCTATACTGACGTAGCAGGCTCTCCAGGATACCTTAAACAAAGAAAAAAAATTGTGTGTCAGTTCCCACAGAACGACCCACCTTTATGCATCTATGCGGGGGAAAAACATATGTATGTGTGCATACACACACACACACACAACAGGCTCATACCCTTGAAGGGTTTTCAGGACTGAGGAGGGCCCTTCCTGGCTGTTTGGGCCAGCTGGTTCAATGGCAACAATGGTCCCAGAACATCCTTTTTGGTTCTGAGGGTCCCAAAGACTGTCACTGCGTACAGAAGGATGAAATGATCACCCCAGGACAGACTCAAGGCTCAAGGAGTATCTATGGCATATTCCCATCCCCACTCTTCCTGTAATTTACAGCTTGAGGAAAGCCCCCAGGCCAGGTAAGGAAACAGAAACCCAGGACCCAGCCCCTCCAAGACCTGGTAGCTGAGCTGGGCGGCTGCACAGCCTGCGGGCCCCCTGTGACGTCTTTGCAAACATGAGGGGTTTTGAGCCCCAGAACCATCCCATTTTCCCTGCTTCAGGCTCAAGTTCCCGCCCTGATTTTCTGGGCTTAATCTTCTTCCTGTGGAAATCAATAAGGACATTGTGATGGAATGATTCACGTTCAAGGTCAGGCCAGAGCAAATTGGAGGCGACATGCTGATTTTACCGCCCTCATGGAGTGGAGAGCCAATCCTGCTCACAGACCCTTTAACCCTTTCCTCGCCACTCCCAACACTGGGTCAGCACCTGCCCAGCCCAGCCTCTTCCCCCAGCCCCTTCGCCCTGCTGTGGCCCTGCCTTTCATATCTCCCCAAGGCTCTGACCACATGGACTTGGAGCCTCACATGGCTCCTGGTGATTTGGGGAAGGCAGATGGCAATCACAACCCTGGATCAAACAGGAAAGATTTCAAGCTAAAGGTCGGATGCTACTTGTATAAGAACATTGGTCACATCCTGCGCCAGGAAATCGCCCTCCCCAAAGCAAAGCTTTCCCCATTTCCAACCCTCTTTTCTGAGCTCAAGGTCCCCTCTTCCCTGCTGTCCTGGACTGTCCCACCTGAGGAGGTGGAGGAGAAGGGGAACGAAGTTCCTCATTTTTTTTAATGAACAGCAAGTCAGACCTTTTCTGTAGCTCAAACATGATAGAGGTTTATGTCTCCCTCTTATAAAGAAAACAAAAACAAACACAGGCGTTTCTGAGTATCAGGAACCTTCCATCCAAAATGATTCAGAGACCCTGGCTCCTCTGTCTTGAGGGACCACCACTTCAGCACAGGCTCACCTGCATCAAGCCAGCTCGCACTGGAGGCTGGGGAAATAGGAAAGCAAGTGGCTTGCTCTCTTTCGCTCACATCTCAGCAGCCAGAACCTGTGCATGTGGCCACAATTAACTGCAGGGGAGGCTGCGAGCTGTAGTCCAGCTGTGTGCCCAGGAAGAAGGGATCTGGGTCTGGAATATGTCTTCTCAGCGAGGAGGTGGAGATAGTGGGGACAAAGCTTAGGAGTTTGGCTGAGTAGGACCGAAGAGAGACAGGGCATGAGGTCAAGGGAAGATTTATTTGTTTGAAGGTTTGAGGAAGGCAGTGACTTGGCCATATATGCTGGGAGGAGCCAGGGGAAAGAGAAGGGTTTCGCTGGGGGAGAGATCAGGGTCTCCGAGGGCCCTTGGCTGGCATGAGGAAGAGCAGTGACAGGTAAGGACCCTCTGGTTGGGTGCACCCTGCTTTCCGTCTTTATTCATCCTGGGTCCCCATTGTCTAATACAGGCCACTGGAAACTGAGTATGAACATACCTTTAAACATACAAGTAAGGAGCCGGGCAGCAAGAAGTTAAAGAGGATAGTGGTGGGCAGATCCAGGGAGCCAGGTGCCCCCCAACATACTGCGGCAGTGCCAGTTAATCCCTTGCAGCAGGCAGGAGGCCTGCACAGCTGTCTCTCCCAAGCTGGAACTACATACCCAGCCGGCCCTTTGCCCAGAGGTCCTGGCAGCCCAGGGCGGAGGGAAGGGGAGGAGAAAGGTGGGCAAGATGGTGGGTCAAGTCACTGCATGCTTGGAGAACTCATTCTTCAGAGTTGAGCCGTTCTGGAGGCTTGCTACTCAGCCCCCACTTGCCATGAAGACTGACCTCCCTCTGGGACAGGGTCCTCTCTAGCCAGCGAAAGATAGCGTGTCCCTGCCCACCCACCCCCAACGCACACACCACGTCCATTCCTGCATCTGCGTTTTTGCCTGGGGTTCTTGCCTCATCTGGGATGCCCTTTTCCTTCCTCTCTCTGGGCAGCTCCTGCCTAGTCTTCAGACCAACCTTGAGCTGTAAAACCCCTGCCCACAGCCTCCTACTTTTTGGTCACGGCACCCCCCTGACCCTTGGTTCTGCTTGCCTGGGGTGTCACATGCCAGTGCGGCTCGATGCTCTGCTTAGGGAAGGGGGACACAGGCCTTGCTTTCACCTTCATTCATTCTTCACCCACGTTTCATTACAACAGAGAAGGACACTAAGGCTCAGAGAGGTTAAGCAACTGCACAGCTGGAGAGTGGGGGAACTGAGGACATGAGCCCGTACTTGTCTCATTCCAGAGTCCACACCCAGACTTTCCTTCTCACTGGGAAAAGCAAGAAGCAGAATGCTGGGTGGCTAACAGCTACCATTCAGGCCCCTTCCTCCCAGAAGCCAGATAGGATAGTGGAAAGAATATTCTAGTCTCTCTTTGGCCAGTTCCCAGTTATAGGATGTTGGCAAACATCAAGCCTCAGTCCCCCTTTGTGAGGAGGGGCGACAGGTTCTACATGCTAGGGCTGGCATGAGTGTCAAGTGAGATCATGGATGGGAACGGGCTGGACAACTGCAGAGTCTGCCGCCCTGTGGGAAGCTGCCTGGCTGAGCCAGGCGATCCCAGCCGGAGCAGGCCACGGAGCAGGAGAAAAGCTGGAGCACAGGGCCTGACGGACCCCCTGCCTTACCATTTCTGCAGGAGCTCTCAGGCTCACGACCGAGCCTTTGAGTGTGCTGTGCCCAGACAGCTGTGTTTCCTGTCCCAGTTCCCCCTGAGCTCAGGCACTGGTTATACATGGTTGGAGCTGAGCGAGCAGTGTGCTTGGGGGAAGAGCCCGGATGATGGGGTCTGGCTCTTTCTCTGAACAGCTACGTGATTTATCCTCTCCAAATCTCAGTTTCATCACTAAAATGGAAATGAGAATCTGGCAAAGTGATGGTGAGAGTGTTTACAGGTAAAGCCCATGACTTATCATAGGAATTTAATGAACGGAGCTATTGTTGCTACTGTGGACAGAACCTTTAAGGTCAACTCCTTCAAACTCCACATCTCCAGGAGCAGAAACTGACCCTAGAGAGAGACAGTGACCTACCCAAGGTCTCACTGCAAAGTGAGCAGAGCCAACACCAGACTCCAAACCCAGTGCTCCTTCCATTCCATCCTCCAGGGAGTTTCCTCCAACCCATGCAGTGTCTCTTTGCTCGAACCTCACAGCCTTCCCTGCCTGAGTCATCTGCTAGGCCTTCCAAGAGTTCTGTCTCCATCTAAAACAGGCGCCTCTTGCTCCTGCCCTAGCCTCCCAAACAGTAGCTATTAGAAGGCTGGGTCCTCTGCAAGGTGTTCAGAACCAGCCAGGGATATTCCTAGGGGTCTGGGAATGTTCCAGGGATGGAGTCCAAGGATGGAGAGGGGAGACAGAAGTAAGAGAGGGAAGGGTTAAAATGAGGCAGCTGGAGAGGGCAGCCTACAGACAGCCCAGCCCAGCACTGGGAGGCCTGCACCACTCCATTCCTTTGCAGATCAGTTACACCCAGCTGTCTCCCTCCCCACCACCAGTGCCCCTCGGATTAGGCGGGAAAGGATCCCGGCCTGCAGCCTGCACACGGCCCATGGGGAACAGCGCCTGCAGCCCACGCCTCCGCGACAGCTGCTGAGTGTCAGGCGAGAACATAGATCAGCAGGGTCCTGGCAGAGGTGCCCCCAGCACAGGCCCTGCCCCCAACATGCACAGGAGGGGCCGCCCAATGAGAAAGGGGGTCTGTAAGGGATTTGGGAGGTACAGGGAAGGGACTGTTCCCAAAAATACCTCCTCTGCACATATGTCACTGGGCCTCACATTCTACCATTAGACATCTTAGAAACTTCAGGTCTTTCAAAGACACCAATTAAAAACTACACTTCTTGGAACAGCTGGCATTCTTATGTACCACTTGATGAGACTGTCTTGGTAAAATTGACTAGAATTTTATTTTACTTTTACAACGCATGTATGAAGTCCCTCAAAAATGTCTATTCCTTTGGGGAGCCTGGGTGGCTAAGTTGGTAGAGTGTCGGTGTCTTGGTCTCGTGTCTTGATCTCAGGGTTGTGAGTTCAAGGCCCATGTTAGGCACAAAGCCTACTTTAAAAAAATGTCTTCCTTTGTCTCAGTCATTCCACTGAGAACTTTAACTTAAGATGAATTTGATGTAAATAGTTGATAATATGGGAAAAAATGTTGTGGGCTATAGGGCTTCTGCGTGGCTCAGTTGGTTAAGCATCTGCCTTCAACTCAGGTCATGATCCTAGGGTCCCAAGATTGAGCCCTGCATCGGGCCCCACATTGGACTCCCTGCTCAGTGGTGAGTCTGCTTCTCCCTCTTCCCCTGCTCCTCCTTCTGCTCTCTCTTTCCCAAATAAATAAATAAATAAAATATTTTTTTTAAATGTTGTGGGCTATAGTTTCAAGATAAAAAGACTAATACCACAGATACTCTCAAAATACTCAAAAAAGCTATATGATATGACAAAGAAAATTTAAAACTAGAAAATATCTGTACCTATAATGAAAAACATGGAATAGTTCCATCAATAGGCCAAATACACAAAATTTCTGGAAGCTATCAAGCAAATGGGAGATAGCACAGCACATAGGTTAGACAGAACTTCTGGGTTCTAAACCTGATTACTTCACTCAACAGTTCTATGACCTTGGAAAGTTACTGAACATCTCTGAACTTCAATTTCCTCAACTGTGAAATTGGAATAATCATTATAATAGTGGTGAGAATCATGTAAAGATTAGAAGAGGTCATGTGTGGGAACATCCTTGTGATCCCACCATCAAAGAAACCAGCATTAGCCAGTGAATGAATGGCTATGGTGTGTCTCCCCCCCATCACCCACCTACACAAATGCCAAGAAACCCCCACATAATATCAATTCAGATTAATGTAGACCTTTATTATAAATATTGCCAGTCAATTAAAACTCACTAGCTATTTGAAAATGATGGACTGCCCCAAAATGATAGCCAAGCTGAGATGGCGGGGGGAATTTCCATCAGTGAAATACCATCAATTCAAGAAACATGAAAGACATGAACTGTATTCTAATAAACATCCCCAGGATGATTTGTGAGGATATTTAAGTATCTATAAAATAGGGAGCTAATATACAAAAACACAATTAGAAAACAAAAGTTTTGTTTTGACCTTATAACATGACCTTATAACAGAGTATCCTGCAATTGCACACCCACCATGCAATTATAAACAATTAGAAAATTGGACAAAATACATGAGATCTGTGTTTTCAGACATTG